AGCCAAGTGCTAAGCTGGAATGAAGGCAAACGCGGAGGAACCCCCGGATCCCCCTTTATGCCCTTGCCCATGTAGAGGGGATCCCATTGTTCTCCCCGTGCGAGAGTATATCCCAAGATGCAGTTTATCGCTAGAGATGTGAAAATGTGTGTAATTAAGTAACCATGTAACCGCTGAAATTTTCAATGGTTCCACGTGGGCTGGCAGGCGGCTCCCCAGGAGCTGATGTGCACGGGGAGCCAGCTCCCCGCATCTACCGTCTCCCGCCTGCCACCCACCCTGCTGTCTCTGATACAGCAGGGGGGGGTCGGTGTGCGTCCCAGTGCATGCTGGGAGCCGGCTTTTAAACCGGCTCCCCTTACCTATGAGGAGCCTACATTTACCGTTAGCTATGTACACAGTTACACTTTCACATCCCTATTGGTCACGTGAGCTAGTCACCGATCCAGGCACGACTCAATCCTTTTTCGGCAGCAGCCACGGCTCACATGTGGGTGTGACCGTTCCCTGCAAAGTCCCTCAGGTGTGGATTGGCCCCTGTTTCGGCTCATGGCTGCTGTTCACTTGACTAGCCGCCCTTTCAGGAGGCTGGCCAAGCCTTCTGCCGAGACCTCTCGCAAGCAAGCGTGTGAAATGCAAGTTCGGAGCCAATGCTCGTAACTTCAGATACAAAAGTGGCACAGGCATCAGAGCTGTCGAAACCGAACCAGCCACGCAGACGCTTTCTATAGACGTCTCCCTTGGCCCCCTTGGCCCAGGGTTTGGTGCAAACACAGAACAGTGTTTTGTACGTTCACATCAGAATTCGGTAACGTCCGAGTAAGGGAACTGAGGACACATCCAGCCCTGAAGGGGAGGGGCAGGCTCGCGCTGGGGGGCGAGGGAGCTGGCAGTACTGGGGTGTCTGTCAGGAAGAGCCTGACGGGGCTGAGTCCGGAGGCTGGGACAGATGGGGGGGCTGGGGACACACTGGGAGGAACTCCTGGGGCAGCCCAGCAGGAGCCCGTGTCAGAGCGGGCATTTGGGCGTGTGGGGGTGAGTTGCCCGAAAGCCCCGTGTCATGAGGGGCAGCCATGGCGGGCTGGGGGCTGGGCCAGGCTGACCCAGGGAGGAAGCCCGGAGAGGCCAGGCTGCCACGGGAGGGTGTGCAGCTGGCAGGATCCCAGCCTGGAGAGGAAGGAAGGAAGGAAAACGGAGCTAAAACCATCTGGTTTGGTGGGGCAGGAGCCTCTCCCCATTGGGCCAGAGAGGGGGCTAGAAGCACTGGGGGATCCCCAGGGAGTCCTGACCCTGGTGGACCGTGGCTGTTTGAGGGGCCGAGGGGACCCTGTCTGGGCAGAGCGTCCTGGCTCCTGGTTGCTCAGCTGCAAAGGGGGTGTATGCACGGGGGTCCCTTGCCCTGGCCGCGACCTGGCAGCGGCAGGGAGTTCGGTTGTGCCGAGCAGGAGCCTCGGATCCAGGGGATCGGGCTCTGCCAGCTCCTCTTGATTGGAAAATCCGCTGGATTAAAAGGGCAGCAAGTCCGGCTGCAGGGAGGGGGGCTCAGCAGCGGAGCCGGTGGGGGGGAGGCGGGCTCGGGGGTGAAGGGGGAGGCCCAGGGCTG